ATGGCAAATTATCACAAGCGGAGCAATTCCCAAACCCCAAATGCCTTGCCATCTTTTCAACATCCAATTAGCTCTTATATCTTTCGAATAAAACGTGAAAGTGAAAGAATCCCCCATACACCCCCTCCAAAAAAAAAAAAAAAGACCCCCGAACAAATCTTCTTAAGACTCAACTTTGTTTTAAAAATCATTATTGCTAGTTCAGGGCGATGTTCTTTTTTGGAACAAAGTCATGATAGCTGTCCCTTTTCCAACCCCCTGGCCACCCCTCCGTTAAGGCGAACATGTGATCTCCTGTCTCACAATGTCAATTAGGTGCCTAGCTCACGTTGATTAATGGTGGTTCGTTTTGCCTCAATCCCGAAACTGAGCTCCGGGCTCCCAAGTAAAATAAAACAGGAAAAAAAAAAGGGAGCCCCCTATGGTTTCTAATCTTGATGCACGTCGCTGGTAGGTTTTCCGTGAAGAGATATGTCAAAGAAAAAGACGATCGGGCCTTAGGTTCGATTTACGAATGTAAGACAGAGTTAGGCAATCCAGCTTTTTACTGCAGAAGACAAAGCAATGTTTTATCCTAAGTACCAGTAGAGTTTTCATTAATTTACCCGGAAAATGGAATTCCGATTTTTCCCCCTCGATACAGATATCGGAAGAAAAGGATTTCTAGTATCTGTTACTGAATTAGAGCGGGAGTCAAGATCTAATACAATGTTTCGGATTGAAATCCGGGATTAAACTCCGATATGTTACCGGAATTTAATTCAGAACTTATTATAAAGAGATTTTCCTTGACTGAGATTTTTAAAGGACGGTAAAAGTAATTCATGTTTGATTATATGAATTACTTTTGAATTTACATTTAACATTTTTACAAGAATATTTATTATAATTATTACATTCGAACATTTATTTGAACATTTTACAAGATTTTGTAAGATTTTATTTGGAATTTATCAATTAAAAATAAAGTATGTTAGCTACAATATTTAAAATAGTTTTAGTTTATATAGAAAATCAATGAAATATAGTAATTTTCCATAATGTTCTTGCAGAAGAAGCAATAGGTAAAAAATAGCGCATTAGATCGATTCAAGATTTGCAATCCCTTTTTCTAGTTTGTGATGATTTTATACAAAGGTGTAAACATGTTTATTTACTGAGAAATGATTTTTTTTTCTTTAAAAGGTTTACATTTTATAATTTTTTGTGTTGATACTATGATGAAACTCACAATATCGATATACCCTAAATGTCCCATATGGGGTTGACCAGATTAGTTCAAATTAGTAGTTGCATAAAGTCAACTTTGACTCATGAAATGGTGGTCTCATTTTATGATGCTTAATACGCTACCGCAAATCTATATCTTAAATTCATTGAAAAATTGGAATTGTAAAAAAAAATAAAATAAATGATATTCCATATTTTTTTTCCGCCAATATTGTTTAAAAAGGTTTGTCTAAATTTTTTTCATAAGTGAATAAATAAATGTAAATTAAAATATCTCCTGTCTTGACATCTGAAGGTAGGCAGACGGTTTTGACCTACAATGGGACTGTGAAGAAGAAAAAAAAATAAATGTTTCATTTATTTTATTGTTAATTTTTTTCTCATTTTAGTTATTGGCAAAATCATTTCCAATTGCGAATTTAAATAAGATTCTTCATTAGAAATAAAAGTTTCCTTACGATATAAAAATTTTATGTACGAAATAAGTAATGAAAAACTCAAGATATAGAAAAAAATAATTATATATACTGTTTTGTTCAATAAGATGTTATGTTATATCTAATTTTTCAGGTTTTAAAATTTTCAAAACCTACAGTGTTTTTAAAGAAATCATAAAATATGATTAAGACTTTTAGAATGATTAATCATGTAGAAACTTATTAGTGTTAAGATGATCAATTACGTATAAGATGGTTATTTTTAAACATGACTTGCAATTTTCGTTGCAGTTTCATATTAAAGAAGATTTCAGTATTTATGTTTGCTACATTTAGTATTCAAGAGAGATGTGATTTGTGTAATATTCAGAAGTAGCATTCTTTCGTGGATCTGGAAAAGAATTATTGGCTGGACACCTTGAACGCAGCATAAGCTAACATATGTCTTTGTTTTAATTACGGTAGATTATTACTGTTGTCAATAATTGACCTGAGTTCGTTTGCAGCTAGAACGTCAGATATAAAGCAGATTTGTCGAAGAATATGAGATGCCAATAAGACACCCGGTGATGTTTGTGACATTTCATCCACATATTAATAGTGTCCTTACACTTTGGAACATGATTTTCAATTGGGAATCTTTGGATATTCAAACTCGCTTCACATTTATGTATCACCAAAGGAAGTAGTTTCCTTTCAACAGATTCAATATATCAACAGATTCAATATTCGTATTCCTGTTTTAAACGCTACTATTACTACTACATCATCACATCACTGAACCTAGAACTGAGTTGTCCCTTTACAGTTAGGGAATGATGTGTGTGAGAAGAAGTCTGATTGGGCTTTCGGACGCTCTACGTTCATATGAGACTTAGAACTAGGGCTTAAAGTGGATTCCGAACCACTACAAACATCCATTGTATCACCGGGACTCAAAATCTAAACATATGGTATCGAGCACCAGAGCGCAAGCCACTCGGCCATCAGGCCCCATCCTGTTTTAGACAAGGAGTTTTTATTTTTTGCAAATTTTTAATGAATAGTATTTGTACCCAATCTTGCTGAGTTCCGCAACTAGCATTGTCACTTATGCCAATAAGGTTGCTCCTCAAAAATTATAATTTAGTATTGAAATATTGCTAAAATTTCATTTCCACAAATATGCCCAAAGTTTCTGATTGGTTTAAAAACAACAGTCATGCATATGGGAGCATTCAATATAATTGCGGTAGTATTTTGCTTCAAATCCAACCAAAGAAGAATGGTTGACAAATCTTAGAAGTTGGAAAGCATCAGACACCAGTGGACCGAGATTCAAAATATTATTAAAGTCAGTTTCCACCACAAACTAAAATTAAACATAGCTGAAGACCAACCAGTAAAAGGTCCCAGTGTTTAAGGAGATCAGGCTCCCTATTCGCTGGTATCCTTTGAAATCAGTATATATATATATATATATATATATATATATATATATATATTAGCATTAGTTGCATATAGCATATAGCATTAGTTGTCAATAAATTCTGTATTTTCTGTTATGTTTGGTAACATATTAGTTATATTTGGCTTGAAAATTATTCCATCGAAATATCAGGGTGAAATAAAATCTCACCTTTTAAATGTCAGGGATTAAAAATTTATTTGAAATTATATTCAAAGTAATACTTGATTCATTACAAAAAATCCCCATATATAAATAAAAAAAAATCATTTAGCTTTATCAAGAGCATAATTCATTAAATTTGATTATAAAAAAAAAACCAAAAAATAAAATAAAAAAAGGATCATTGATGCAAAAGCTGGTAAAAAAATGGTGTAAATGGAATATCGAGGAAAAAGTTCTTTTAGAATGATTTATAAAAAGTAATTGAATCGGATGTTTTGCTTCTCACGTGTATCAAAAATGCATTAAATGTTTTTTGGATTTTTTTTTGAGATTTTTTTAAATTGATTTTCATTTGCACTTTTTTGTCGTCAAAATGTTTTATTATAATTAGATGAGAAAAAAAACCTCAGCTCTTTCAATATGCGTTCGGGCTTAAAAGAAAAGAAATAGTTAAGTAGCTTCTTTTTTTTTTTTCAAGGTAAAAGTGGGTTTTTTTTAAATATTTTCTAACTCTGATTATTATTTCTTTAAAGATTTGAAATATTTTATCCGAAATAATTTGATGGTGAAATTAAGAATCCTTGAAATCAATACTTCTTTTTAGATCCTTTTTTTTTCTTTGTTTATAGAAATTTCTTCTTTTTTTTGTATTTAATATATTCATTAAGAAAATAATAAATATTTCTCAGATTATTTAAACTACATCGATTTTTAGTGAGGAATAACTTGAGCTAATAAATTAATTATTTTGAAAGATAAAATGACATATCATGAGGTTGAATTTACAAAAAAAAAAAAAAAAAAAAATTTGGAGAGAGAGTTCATAAACAGAATGGTTGAAGCTATGAATAATTATTGAAGTTAAAATATGGTTATGAAAATATGGGAACACAAGCTTCATATTATATATTGAGAAATTACTAAATCTGTTAATTGTGTGTTGGGAAATCCAGAAGAGTAACACGAATGTTATAGAAAATCACCACCTCTTCCTTCTGCTAGAAGCTGATTTGTAATACTAGCACTAGTAAATCAAACTCACCACAATGTACAGAAATGTTTCTGAGCTTAAACTCAAAGTGATTTACAGCTGAAAATAATATATAAACAAGTTAAAATGAGAATGCAAGATAGGAGAACCAGAGATTAATAATAAAATAGAGAACTTCACACTAGTCTTAAAGAAAAGAAAGTTTGGGGAATATATTTCGTTCTTTTCGTACTAGAGTTGGCGCTTCATCACCTCTTGGCTTCTTTTCCTGTGATCATTTATTAGATAACGTAAGCATTTTACGAATCGATTCAGAAAATTCCTGATAAATGCTTGAAATTCTCCTTCTGATATCATGCATTTATTTATGTGCTTAATAAAGATAAATATATACAAAAATATTATTTTGTTTATGACTATTGATGACGTGGAAGATGTGTTTGTTGTTGTTGTTGTTTCTTATCCCACTTGGCACGCCAAGCCCACGAGCCCATACGTACTCATGATTGAAGGGAAAGGAAGCAGCTTCTGTTGTGATGGAGCACCCTTAGGTAGAAGAAGCCTGACTTTCTCTCCGTGACGTTCTTACAGTCATAGGAGACCGGGATCTACGGCTTAAAGTAGATTACGAACCACTACAAAATCCATGGCCCTGCCGGGATTCGAACCCGAAACTTGTGGCACCGAGCGCCAGACTCTCGGCCATTCAGGTCCCAAATTTGTAAATGCCAACGGCACGCGATGTTCCCAGGTAGGTGGGACCCAAGGTACCCACCCAAGTACCGACCGCGCCCAATGATGCTTGACTTCGGTGATCTAACGAGAACCGGTATATTCAGCATGGTATGGCCGTTGGATGTAAAAGCTATATAGATTAGAACATTTAGGGTACTTAAAAAAAAAGTACAAACAATAAATCTCCATAACCACACCTGTCAGAAGCTCACTTGCCTTTTTGTTACATCGAAACTGGTATTTTTTAAACACGACACGTTTTGCATAAATCATACATGTTGACTGTTTTATTACAGTGTCAATGATCCATGGAAATTTTCCATTTGGAATCGAGTATGACTGAAACATTCTTAAAAAAAATCCTCCGATAACTCATTGTTTTGTATGGAATATAATAGAACATTACAAAATGTTTCTATAAATGAATTGTACTCATTAATTTCCCTAGTTACTTTTTTTAATGATCTTTTATTTTAATATTCGCTTTCATTGTAATTCTTTATAAAAGTGTAAAAAAATTGATTTGAAATTTTACTTAATTTATTTATATTTTCGACATCTTATAATTAATTTTTGCTTGTAATAAATTTATGATTCTCCAAAAAAACAAAAATTAAAGCACTTTTACAGCAAATATTCAAAAATATGAAACTTGTAAAATTTATTGCACTAATAATTGCAAAAAATTATAAAATTATTAAAATATAAAAAAAATTACACTTTCACTCGTTGTTTAATTTTATTCTTATTACATTTGACGAGACTCTTTTAGGGTGACAGCACACCCATAGAAGATTAGCACTTCGAGCATGTTTAACACTTTTTTGAAATCTGAAACTTAAAAAATATATTATAGAAATGCAAACGGTTGGAAAAAAAAAAGGGTGAAAGCATTTAGACGGACCATATGTGGGCAGGTATTTAGACGAAACACATACACTCAAGCCAAAACATTATGACCACCCCCTACATTTTACAATGAACTCGCCTGGATGACGTGGAATGCACGTGATCATGGAAGTTGAAATTATGTCCAACGTAGAAAGGTGGGCCAACTCGTTAAAAAATGTTTTGGGTCTTGAGTGTATATTTGAAAAAAACGTAGAAATGAAAAAAAACAAAAAACATGGTGGATACTTGGAGATGAACACAAGACAGAAGCGCAGAAAGACCAAAATCCGAAGACTTCCCCAAAATTGGAACTCACACAGAAGGAGCAGAGGTTATCGGTGAAAATGATGGATGGAATCACGGAACCACAGTGTGATGACAGCCAAAACTTCAAGGAAGCACTCCGCGGCCAACCAAAACTTTTAATTTCTTATGATATTAGTTTTTGTTCCAAATTGTTTACAATTCTGTCAGACTTTGCTTAGCAACCCTGGAAGCTGCTGAATAAAATAGTCAAATATCAAATTCATTTAATAAATAATTAAAGTCATGAGTTTTTTGGCTTCATTTTATTACTAAATATTTTAAAATGTTTAAGCTTAGCCAAAGAACACAGGCCAAGAACAAAATATAAAAGTTATGCATCTTGATTATTTAGTTCTGTTCTTGTATGAATTTTCCCCATTGTTCAGCTTCTGTAAAAAGTAATTATGCAAAACTTTCCGCCTCCATCGTGAGTCCATTCATTTCACCCACATCATTCACAAACTGTATAGGGGCGTCAGCTCTAGGCACAGTCAGTAGTAGCGAATAGTTATAAAAAATAATCAATAAAAGTGTTTTGGTAGCTGTCTTGCATGTCGTGGAAAATTAAAAATCGGATAAAGTTCATAAATAATACTTTTAAATCTGCTATTAATTATAGCACTTGTTCTCAAAATTTTGAAGTCTGGTTCCTTTAAAAACCTATAAATAATCGCAAGCATACTCAAAAAATAAGTATCCGATACTAATGCCTCACGGTTTTATATCCAGATGGTCAACTCCAAAAAACAAAAAACATTGAAATTGAAATTCATATAGACGCTAGTTCTCTTAATAGTCACCCATGGAACCTACACTCTCTGAAATCTTTGATGCATTATTGCTGTTTGGTGACTTTTTTGTAAATAAAGAAGAAAAAAAAAAAAAAGCATCCAAAAGGTTAGTAGTTTTTATGGAAAGCTGTCTTTGAATGGGAAAACAGACAAGAAAAAGTGTTACGATATTTATTTTCATTTCAAAATAATTAATTTTTAAACAACAGCATACATCCGAATATAAAAAACAAGAATGTTGATTTCTTCACAAAATTTAGGTAATTTAAAGATATAAATAGATAGATTTAAATTGGATATAAATGGATGTAGACAGAAAAGAAAGCCACAATGAAAAACGGGAGAATTGAAATAACAGATTAGTAATGGTTGCATAATGGGCAAAACTACAGCCAGAAATTCCACCTCAAGTGGTAATTCAAGCTTTAAAAATATTGCATCAGTAACTGTATGGATGATACCAAGAACGATTTTGTATATGAAGGCATATATTCTAGTACGAAAAGCATTTAAAATAATGATGACATGTAACCCTATGTTTTAATGAATGAATGAATTTGACCAATTATTCGGTAACTCGAATTATAACGCTGATCTTGATTTATGTGATTTTTTTTTTTTTTTTTTTTGCAATAGTTTTATTCAAAAAAGAAAGTTAATTATTAAAGTAATTTGTTTAATAATGTACAGTTTGGTACTTTTTTAATTTGGCTAGATTCGATTTTTCATTTCGACGAAGTAGCAGTTTTTTTTTCCTTCTAATACAGCTGGTAAATTGGTCTTTCGCCATAAGGGCTTTGCACCGATGTTATTTACACTACCCAGGAGGCGCGTGTAACTTGATGGTAAAAACGCGGAGTTTTTCTAGGGCTTAAGGTGGATCCCGAACCACTTTTTCATTTTGAACGAGAGCGCTAGCCATTCTTCCATCAGGCCCCACCAGTAATATAAATCCTTTTCGAAAAATAAACAACTTATTTTCATAAAACTATTAACATATTTCCTTAAAAACATTTTCATAAAATAGAGAAATAAAACATTCTACGATAGATTTAGCGATATTTAGCAGATTTTATCACTTGCAGCTAACTAACAAAAATTATCTACATTTTTTAAAGATTAAGTGATCCATGTATAAGTCGATCCCATTAATTTAGCATTTAGAGTTTCTGAAAATTCTCGGCTCATACACAGTCTCTAAAATATTGAATATGTCTGAATATAAAACATATTCAATATGTTGTCATGGAATGCAAATCTCTCAAAAGTAAAATATATTTAATTAATATATTAATGTGTCATTTATAATTTAAAAGTTTAGAAATAACTTGAGATAATATTCACATTAGGAATTAAAAAAATATTGATACAATTTTTAAAATAAATATTTTATTCATACCTTTACATTTCCAAGTATAAGTTGAATATTTTTTTGACCTTTTTAAAGCTTCGCTACGTGAATCGGCTTATATTCGGGTCCTATAAGCTGGGAGCAGTGATAAATCATCAAATATCACTAAATAAAGCAAGTTTTTACTTCTTAAATTTATTAAAAATCTAATGTTAAATAAAATAAGTTTTGCGTTATATAAAAATGATTTTTTTTTTCATTTTCGAAATGGTTTATATTGCTGATTTGTTGCATCGTTGCCAAATCGAAAAATATAATGTTGATGAAATTTGAGCATGCCAGACAGAAAGGTACCAAAACACACATCAGAAAAATAATAGAATACTGCAAATAATAAACTTTACAGTAAATTTTGCTTTTTTAATATATACTAACACACGGATTTTGAACTTTGGTAGATTTTTCGAAGAAAAAAACACACTATCGGATGGATCGGTTTATATTCGGAAATATGATGTATTTATATAATTTAAGAGAATTTGTATTTAAACACATTACTTATATGTTATTATAAAGTATAAAATTTGTATTTTTATAGTAAATAAATCTAAAAAAATAAATCTGTAAAATGAAAGCTTTTCTTTAAATTTATTAACTTTACTTTGTGCATAGCCAAATAGTCATGAACTAATTATGCTTTTTTAATTAAATAAAAAACTATTTTTTCTACCAGACAGCGGCTCTCAAAAGTATAAAAAAACACTGATTTGCTCCAGGGTCTTCATTAAGTTTTTATTAAAATATAGAAGAAATTCTTATTGTTTTGTCTGCATTATTTTTCAATTTACTTTACAAATAAACATTTCTTAAAAACTATTGCTTACAGATTAAAAAAAAAAAAAAACTATAAAAAAATATATTGGGGTATTTATATACATAAATAGGCTTCTATAAAATGATTGCTAATCTAGCTAATTTATATTATTTGAAATGAGTGTCTTATCTCCAACCATAATTCTGCACTGTATTTTTACCTAATAAAATTTGAATAAACGAAAAAAAATGTTTTAATTTCTGTGACTAAATATATCTAGTTTATATCAGAAAATATTATTATACTTCTAATAGAAAATAATTTTTTGAATAATTTATAATTTTTTCGTGTAATTTTTAATTTTTAATTTTTTTTGTAATGCACCATATTCGTTTATAATTTTGTTAAATTAAATAATCCTTTTTATGTTCATATAAATACTAATCATATAAATATAATCATCATATAAATACTAATATTTTTATGGACGAATATATATATAATTAAAACAGATAAAATAAATGTATGCATTAAAACATATAAAATACATATTTATACATATTTTACATATAAAATACATATTTTAATATACAACAAAATATATGTAATTTGTATATTGAAAATAACGCAATACTTACATAATATTATTGCTATAATCCTTGTCAATATTTTGTATTTTTCTTACGCATTTAAAAATAAAATATTTAAACTATCCAAAAAAGGTTAAATTAAGAGAGAAACCTTTTCAGATTCTAAAAAGAAAGCAACCAAAGCTTCTGTAAATATCTTCATCCTGTTCATTGAAAGAACGTATAATAAAAATACTCCATCATATGTGCAAGATTTTGTTAAGAAAAATAAACGATATTGAAATCTTTTTCAAAAATCTAGCAAAATTTTTTATCTTTATGTTCTTTGAAAGGAAAAGAGACGTAAATGTCAATGTCACAAAGAAGTTTTAATTTA